CTTTCTCTCTTCCTCCCTCCCTCCGTCTATCGAACGTCCGATTTCTCAGATTTTTTTTTTTTTTTTTAGCGGTACCGCCACCCGACACGGGGTAGAGGGTAAGGATGGAACGCTTCGAAAACAGGATCCGTGCTCTGCGGAGCAAGACCAAAACGACCAAAGAAAAGAAAAAAAAGAGAAGCTATACGGAATATTGAGTGTGTACCTAGAGATCGGGGCAGGAAAGCCTTGTGCCGCACACGCCAGCGCCAGAGACTCGCCCTCTACCCCGCGGTACTTATTAAGGCCGTCTCCAGTCCCTTTTGGGGCAGTACGGCCGGACGGTTCTGGAAGGATATGCGTTCATTGCCCAGATATGTATATATATATACGACTAAACTCGTCCCCGTTCGTTTCGTTCTCCGCTCTGCGCACGTTTACTCGCTAATCAGATTCGATTTCTTTCGATCGTTATGACGAAAGAGGCTGTCTCTGCGAGAAAGAAGGCTGTCTATCGGTGCATAATCGATATTCTCTTTGATGGATCGGACTTGCGATCAAACTAGCGTTTGTCGTCGTTTTCCTTGATACAGAGTGTGGACAAGAAGTTCGCAGAGAAATTTTCTGCGTTAACAGTGATACGTTTCTATCGGCTTGCGATGTGAAAGATCGTACATCGTCGTTCGTGTCTTTTCTTTTTTTTTTTTTGTTTTTTTTTTTCTGAAACCTAGCTTAACCCTTTGAGTGTTTAGTCCGTACTAAAGTACTGTGCAGATAATTTTATAATCAATAATAAAATGATTGGCTCGCTTAATATATTGCTATATATTAAACAAATATATCAAAAGATGTATGTTTAAAGACGAATGTAATTTTAATTTATCATGTACTCCTGGTTAGATATTAAAATTTTAGACTTTCGATAGATTGGATAATTTTGAACACTCCAAAATTTAATTTATCAACGTCTCTTTTATTTCCTTTGATTATCATATTCACATTGACAGTAATCTCTGATCTACGTTTCCCGAATTTCATACTAATTTGATATTAATTCGTGTAAAAGTTTTGGTGAACGAAATCAGTAACAGAAATTTATTTATTATCCGAGTTAAGGAAAACTATATTCTATTATTCAGAAAATTATACGATTAGAAATTTCGATTTTTGAGCAGTACAATTCAACGATCACAAGCGATTGAAAATTTCTCTCGTCGTCAATAACCATTATTAATGAAGGGAATTTTAGCATCAAGAGAAATTTATTTCTTCGATTGAAATAAATTTTCGATAAAAAAAATCCCATCTCAGTTTTGCACGTAATAAAATATTCGACCAAAACTTCTCCCTAACGTTGTCAAACATTTTAGAAGCTGCAACGCAAATTTTGCAAAAGTTCACGAAGAAAAAGAACCGAAATTTACTCCGTCAATACTGACAATGAAACAAACTGTGGATAATTTATAATTATTGCTTCCAATCAAGAACACTTCGGTCGAAAAAATAATTGTTGTCTTACGGTTATTTCTATTTTGATTACAATAATTATGATTCCACATTATTAGTTCTCCGACAACGAACAGCAGTACGCATCTAACAAAAGCGTCAATTTTAAACGATTTGCCACACGACTTTAAAACTCCAACAACGCGAAGATAAAACTAACAAACGAACGATAATTTCCTCTGAATACATAGCAGAGAGAAAGAAAGAGAAAGTATATTTGACGAACTTCTTGTCCACACCACGTACTCTGATCGATTGGTACCACACCACGTGAGGCCCCGTTCTCGCGAGAGATGAAACACGTTACGTACCTCGTTATATTTTTCTCCTCAACCAGTTAGTATCTCGAGTGGACTACGCTCAAACGTTTCATGCTACTTACCTTTAGTGAACAAGCTCCTCGACCAGGTAACAACGTGTTTCGCCCTGATGCACTGACATCAATTGATTCATCGACTCATCGACGACGACGACAACAATTTTGGAAAGCAAAATGGAAGGAGAATAATGGAAAAACCGCGAGATGATCAACGGTCATCGTCTACCTTGCCAGGGGTACGGGGAATCCCTGCAGCGAGTGGCTCAACGCGATATCCTGACCCCTAGCAGCCAGTACCACCTCCCTTTCGAATTTCTTGCCCGAGGAACGCGGGGCTATCTTGTTCGTGCCCTCTGAAACGCGATCGTAACGTGTTCTCCGAGAAAGGGAGAGGAGTACCTTGTCACTGGGACAGGAGATCCCTGAGTGGTACAGTCCAGAGCCACCACCAACGTCCTTGGAACGTCCACGAGCTTGAAACCCTCGTAACGTTCACCAGCTATACGCGGCGCGACGTTGCCTGTCGGCTCTGCAAGCGGCAACAGAGAACGCGGCTAAATCGGCGCACTAATGTATGAGCAACTGACTTGACTCGTCGACGACGACTTTAGAAACCAAAAAAGGTGGAGGAGAACGATCGAAAAACTGAGATTGAGATCGAGTCTCTTGCCCAAGAAATATAGCGGGGCAATCTCGTCCGTGCCCTCTGAAACGCGATCATCGAAAATCGAAAGAGCTCTGTACGTGTATGTTGAAACGTGTCGCGATGAAACCCTGCATCGATTCCTCCAAATTTGTAACATGTGGCGAAACATGTTTCAAAATATTGAATTATTTATTTCAAGAAAAAAAGGAGGATGTCTTTAATTATGAAAAATTAAAGAAATGGGCAACAGTAGGTATTCGAATTTCGCGATATTGAGAGAACTGAGAACGAATGGAACCTGGTGGAAATTATTACTTGCTTATAACTTGATTCTGCTTTTTGTCGTTTAGTGGATATTGAATATTGTATAGAGAATTGGAAAATTAGAGCTTTTCTCTGTAACTATCCAACAGATGTTCAAGAAAGTGTGTTGACATTTCATTGGGAAAAAACATGTTATTTTTCAATTTATATATTATCTATAACGAATAAAATATCAATTATATTATTTAAGCAAATAATATAAAATATACTACCATATAAATAAATAATATACAATTTTTTACATACGTATATTAACAATGTAATACTAATTTCGAGTTACACAAATATTTCTAATAATCTCGGAGATATTCATCCCCTATAAATAAATAGATTTCGTAGTCGTAGCCTTAAGGGTGGTTTCACGTCGACAAACAAAAAATATATACATTTTCACGAGAATTTCCTCGGAATTGACAATCGATATTTTAGCATGTTCCCTCGCAAGTGTCGATGAATGTGTGTATCGCGACATGTTTCAACGTAAATGGGACCCTATGGAGGAGTACCTTGTCACTGGGACAGGAAATCCCTGAGTAGAGCAGTCCAGAGCCACCACCAACGTCCTCGGAACATCCACGAGCTTGCCACCCTCGTAACGTTCACCGGCTATACGCGGCGCGACGTTGCCTGTCGGCTCTGCAACCGGCAAGAGAGAATCGGCGGTTGAATCGGCACGTGCCTGACGATTCTCATCTCCGATCACGCGAAACAACGAGAATAGGGAAACGATGGGATAGAATGTCCGTGTAACGAAGCAGAAAGCTTGCCCATCGCCTGGAGCAAGGACCGTGAACGAGGAGGATTTCGTTGACACGCGTGACAGTACCTGAACGTGGGGGCTGGAAACCCTTGAACAGGACACGGCAGACCCGCCATTCGATCGATTAGGATGTCCCTCTTCAGTCCGTTCACGTCCTTGTCGCGTACGTTCGGACGCACGCTGCCCCGTGGCTCTGCAATAATTAGGGACGCGCGGGTACCCGAAATTATCGATTCAAAGTGGCTCATTCGATTTATTTTGAATTTGCATTGGGACTCCGAATGTGTCGATGTATATAAGTACATTCGGGTATTCGTTATTTTCCGATTTAATCTGTGATTTGAGATCCGATGCTCGATTTGAGAATATAATTTTTGCTTCTGATTTTTACACGCTGCGACTTCACAATGCGCTCAGAATTTTTAAGCAAAGACGATTCCATGCAACACAATACATATGTAAAATGATATATTATTTCATTTTTAATATTTTGTTTTTTAGTATTATTGAAATATTTTAATTAAAATTTCATGTTATGATTTTGAAAGCAAAGAAAATATTGCAAAAATGTAACATGTGAAACAACATTATCTCATTTTAAATTCGAGCTTATGTAGTACTAATATCTTTACACATTCCGTGTAATAATAATACTTTTCTTGCTTATAGATTCAAAGATGTCTCGCGGGGTTGTAGTTGTTATATTAAAATAAATTAATATTATTTTATACGTTATATTGTGTAATATTTTCCTCGTTTAAAAATTCGTATATTTGATCACACTGCAAAATCACAGTATTACATTTTCAGGGAAAAAAAAACAAAAAGCAAAACGAAAAATTATATATTACGTTCTGAATCGAGTATTGGATCTCGAATCGCAAATTAGATTCCAAAACAGTGGATACCCAAATATATTTACAATGACTTAGAAAATATTCGAACATTAATCACAGAGAAACTTTTATATATAAATATTCAAATCTAAGTTTTTATATATAGATTTTACATGTAAATTTCATTAACATGACTGTCATCATTATAACGATAAAATTTGAAACCAATCTGAAAATGTATATAGCTTGCATGATATTTATTCTAACATACGTATATTTTATTTTGTTAATATACAGCATGAATAGCATATAATAAAAATCTTTAACATGTAACAAATTAAAGATAGTTCCATGCTTATTGATGTAATAAATATAGATAGATTAATATAGTAATTTATAAAAATTACTCTGCGAAATATATACTTGTGTTGAATATTTTGTAATTTCTGTACACATTTTCAGAATTGTTTAAAATTTCATCAGTACATGGAGCACTCAGAAATCAAAGTGTAAGTCATTTTCCATTAAAAGTGTTTCGTGCCGTATTTTTCTGATCAAAATCTTCAGTCTATAGAACAGTTCACTTCTATATGATATTATTTTATTACGATAATTATACTATAATGACTAAACTGTTGTCCGTCGATTGACAATTTTAACAACAAAAGGATGCTTGCACGATATAAATAACTTACACTGACTGGCTTCTGACGCTTGCATATAATAATTAAAACAGTCAAGTTTCCTTACTGATATAAATAAAACGTCAACATATTTTACTACACGACACACGTAACAGATTTTCAAAAGTTCCTATAAAAAGTTCGAACATTTCCACGAGCAAATATATTTATATCATTATACGTATATACACGTGAGGATACCCGCGCACTCCTAGTACGTTCATCGCTTGTCGTCGTTGTCGGGCGCGTCATCGATGCACGGCACGCTGGCCACGTTTCCTCGAAGGGAAATGTTAAACGTGAAGATAAGAACCCGATCGACAGAGATTCGGACGAAGGGAACGCGAAAAGAAAAGAGAGGGAGTGGCGAGCGATCTGATACGTTGCTCACCTGTACAAAGGCGAGGGACTGGCCTGAGCCTCGCACAGCAACGTCAAACCTTGGCCCTGGACGTTTGCCAATCCGTCGAATTTCGACCTAGGCGGCAACCGAGGTGGACTACTTCCGACCGGCTCTAGAAAGCAAAGCCAGCGAGACGTTTCAAGCGCGAGCAGCCACCGCGCGCGGAATCGATATACTTCACGTATCTCTCACGCGTTCTCCGCGGCTCTCATCGCCCCTAACGAACCGACCCAAGAAAACGAACCAAGGAACAATCGTGATACTTCTTCTCTCTTTCGCTCTCTTTCGGTTTGAGCATGACGTCGTACCTGAAGATCGGCAGTGGATGCGCCTGAGCCTGGCACAGCATAGCCGTGGCCTTTCGCGCCGGCAGAGAGAAGACCGTTATCTTAGCCGTGGGTGGCACTTTGGGCGCCGCGCCGCTCACCGGCTCTGGATAGAAGAGGTTCTTCATTAAGAGCGACAGATCTTTAAACTTGAACGAAACGAGTCCGATCAGACGCTTCTGGATTATTTCATTATTAGATCAAAGTGTAGAAATACGCAATAGCTTATGGGTGTTTGACTGTACAGTCGCTCGTTCACCTCTGATTCCATTATATTGTAACAATGGGTTCAGTATTAGACAGTAGCAGATATGCCATAACGGCATATGTCGACTATGAACACGACGATATGTTTCTCCTAATTTTGGCATGTCTCGTCATCACAGTTAATGGCAATTCAGGCCTCAGAGACAACGTTTCTTTGAAAAATATATTTCAAAAAGAGAAGACACATTCTCACAACACGTGACATGCGTGCAACTCCGTTTCGTTCAAGTTCAAAGATCTAGCGATTTTTAACGAAAGACCTTGCCTCGGAAGAGAAACGATCGAGCATGCATCTCGCAGAGAGGAGACGCTCGATAAATACCTAAAGGCTGGAAGAGGGTGGCCCTGCGCCGGGCAGAGCATCGTTACCGAGCTGGCCACGTAATTGGCGAGAACGTCGTACTTGGCAGTGGACGCGACTCTCGGTTTGGCACCGTTCACAGGTTCTACGCAAGGCGGCACACAAATTTAATAGAACCAGCCGGTGAATGGACCGGCGGGAGATTAGTTCACTGACCTAAACGTGGGCGCAGGGAACGCCTGGGCGTCGCATAATAAACTGAGCTGAGCGTCGTTCGCCACCTCGAACGAGTCGGACTTGGCTGATTTCGGGAATTTCGGCGACACTCGACCCGCTGGCTCTGACGTTCACAAAACGAGTAACGAGTTACTCTCTCTCTTGACAGACTTCCGTCGAATCACGAATATTCTGATGATGCTTCTCAACAGAATAAGCGAATTACCCTGCTCTGAATGTACGGGCATTTCTTAACCACTTGTCTTGTGATTTTCTCTTCAATCTTCTTAAGTACCGTAACTTGTCATATTGCGTCGGACGTGGAACATTGAATTCGTATTTATTAATCTTCAGTTGAAAGTATTGAAATGTAAAATTGAAACTCAAGCACCAGTAATTTACTTTTCCTTTCATCGTAGCACGATCCGTGACTCGATATTATAATTGATTTATAATAATTACAATAATACAATAATAAATATATAATACAGTCATTGTTACAAATTATTATCATTATAGTATTAAATTGGAGTACAGGTATTGATAACTCTAATTTTATCTATAAGCAAACGAAATTCTAATTGCAGAAACTTGAAAGAAAAAAAAAATTTTCTATATAATTTCGTACATTCCCATAAGATCAGATACGCGTTAAAAAATGCCCATAGCATCTCATGAAAGCCAACTATCCAGCAGAAAACCAATCAAAAGATTAAAACACAAAATGTGTATTCGCCCCCGCTTGAACGTGCCACCACTCCGTTTCGTGTTTGCGAGATGCGCGATAATCGACAGACGAAAAGAGAGAGAGAGAGAGAATTACCTGTGAGTGGGAGGTGGCGATGCCTGAGCAGAGCAGGTGATCGCGACCGAGGATCTCGCGGCTCTGACATAGGTGACGCTTTTCGCGTCGCTCTGAAAGGCTGGCGCCTTGGATCCCACGGGCTCTGGATCAAATAAACCCGGGACAAAAAGAGAGAGAGAGAGAGAGCTAGGTCGAACTGCGAAGCAGAGCTGTCATTTACCTGAACGACGGAACTGGGAACCCTTGTGCGGGACAAAGCAATGTCGACGAGCTTCCAGCGGCGCGGACGAACGAGTTCACGCGATCGTCGCTCGAGAATTTCGGCCCCTTCGCTCCCATCGGCTCTGCCCCGTGTAACAATCCGCTTTGTCAGCCGCGAAGAGCTCGTGCCGGCGAAAGCCGGTGGAAGAAAAGAGAGAAAAAGGAAAGAAGAAAGAAAGGAGAATTAGGTCCGCGTGCGGACGATTTCTCGGTCGTTCAACGAGCAAAAAAAAAGGAAAAAAAATGGAATTACAGGAAAGAATCGATAAAGACGAGGGCACGAGCTGCCGTGTGACTCGAGTACCTGAACGCTGGTACCGGGTGACCCTGCGCTTGGCACTGCATCGCGAATCCCGACGACGTTTTGGTCTTCTGCCATCGTTTTCCGTCCCCGGTCACGGACGGCGCCTTACTTTGCACCGGTTCTTCGTCGAGAAAGAAAAAACGAAACGCGTCAAGACAGATGTAATTGAACTAATTGAACGAGTAAGAAGATCATTGACCGCCGTTGTTTTAAAAAAAAAAAAAAAAAAAA